TTATAAATAAATTCCAAAACAACAAAAATCTCATCAAACCCTTCGGCCTCAGAGTCATTGAGGATCTTAAAAAAAATACAATTTTCCAAACAAGACATCCAACAATTTCTTTTCCCCGACCTCCCTCCGTGGCACCTCACCAAGGCAAAAGTAGACTTACAGATGACCACACACGACAAAGCAAGCACAAACACCAAAATATTTAAAGCAGAATACAAAAAACTTTTAGAAAAATACCCCGGAGCGGAGCTTATCTTCACAGATGGCTCCAAACAGAGCTCTGGTGTGGACGCCACAGCTCTATCTTCAAAGAGTACACACCTGAGGAAACTCCATCTTAAAGCCTCCATTTTCTCTGCAGTGGCCACTGCCATTGACATGGCTCTGGACTCCGTAGAAAATTCTTCTAACAAATCTTTCCTTATCCTTTCTGACCCTCTGTCTTGCATCACCTCACTCACAAACTACGCACTCGTACACCCAAAAATAGTTAGGCTACAACAGAAAATACACACCTGAACTGAAACAAGGAAAAGTATCGTGTTCGCATGGATACCTAGCATCCGATTTTACCATTAGACACATTCTAACTGTATGTCTAGACTTCGGAGAGATCCGAAGGAAATACTTCAAATTTAAGAAATTGCTAGACATTTTTTCTATCGTTGGTCCCAACAGAATTTTGGATTTTATGAAGGCCATTAGCCTTTATGGAAAATTATAATGTAGAACAAAATTGAATTATTTAATTTTTTAAATAAAAGTTGTTTTAAATTGAAATTATATATTTACACCAAATTTTTAATTTTTTAAAAACGTTTTAAGATCAAATGACCCATACCCAGCCGTGCAGTGAACTGCAAATAAAATAAAAAACTAACTTGTGTTTCGCGCGCTCATATGACCTTATGCAGTTGTGAGTGCCGTAAAACCCCATACAAAACTAAACTAAAAAGATTTTTTATAGAGTTTAGCTGTTCACAGAAACCTGTATTTTGCCAGAAACTGTGTTAAAACATAGTACAATGTCGGTTCCTACATTTAAGTATGCACAAAAACTAAAAGATTATAATCAATACATGAAGTGTAACGACCGGCTGCCCAAGTTACTCAAAATTTTAGAAAGAAAAAAGAATAAAGACATATCCAGATTTTTATAACACTTTTAGTTGTTTTTTTAGTTTAGCCGTGAACAGAAACCTATAAAATTCCAGAACCGGTGTTAAAACATAATAATTTGTTGACTCCTACATTTAAGCATGCACAAAAACTAAATGATCACAACCAAAAAAAAATTGTAACGTCCGACCGGCGAAGATAGTCAAAATTGAAGGAGAAGAATTGGAGATAGACCATTCTGTTCTCAATGGTGCATAATAACTCTCTCGACGTAATCAAATAAATATTGTATCGACACCAGGCTTTTTAAGAGATACATCTGCGTGCTATCGCTGCTGTAAGGCGCTCTATTTCTATATCTCACCTTTACCTTGCACTAAATTTCACTTATCATGTTCATGTGTTTCTGTTAATGTAAAAATATGAAAAAGCAACAACAAAAACGAGCAGCAAAAACCAGCAGCAAACACCTCAAGCAGCAATGGTAGTACTTATCCTTTCTGTATCTGGAATCTTACCTGTCTCTAAACTTGTCACAGTGGTTGGTTGGGGAGGGGGGTATGCTGTGGGGTGGTCTGCTCTTTCGTTCCAATCAAACTTCTATCTTCCTTATCTCTTCTCCTTTTTCTTTGTGTTTGTTATTCTCTTGCAGCCCCTCTAATCTTTTGCACTTAGATGACCTAATTTTTTATTTACTGTAAAACGCTTACTAAACCACTAATCTAGTGTAACATTGTTGTTGTTGTAATAACTGTAGACGTGGTTTCAGGCAAGCATCAACATATTTTAGATCATTTCAGAGGTGGACTGTTTTGATTATGTCTGTCATATCCCGAAAAAGGTTGAAATGGTATGTGTTGAACGCCATTATCAAGACTATTTTGTTATTTAAGAGGTGGGACTTCCAAGTTTGACGTCCATCTCCGAAAGGACTAAGCCATTTAAGAAATTCAGGTAAAATGCCTTTCCCAAGGACAAATCGTCTGACCGAGGAGAGGCTCCAACTTCTAAACCCTCAATCTCACGATTATATGTCAGAACTCGCCCAGCTTTGAAGAAAACAATGTCCCAGAAGAATAAATTATTAGGGTACTCCACAAAAGACAATCCTATTTGGGAATTGATTTTACAGCTTTTGTTTGCAGCTTAAGGGAAACAACTACCCACATTCAGACATTGCTCTGGGAAACGTTTTGATAGTTTCTTATTGTTTCAGTTATAGTAAGAGTTATGATATTTTACAGTAATATACCAATACGTTACAATTTTACAGCAGTTAAGTTTGTATCATTTTTAGAAATAAAGGTCTTTGAGAGACAAAACTCTGTCACGTAGTACTAAATTCAGACGCTCCTCAAAATAATAAATTCAAAGAAACCGATATTTATTTTTCTGTCAGTTGGGTTATTTGTAATTTTATTTTATTTTATTTATTTATCGGGAGAGATCACAATCTTTTATGTCCATCAAAAACACATTTACTTACTGAAAACTGTTGGTGAAAAGCACAATTAAAATGTAAATTTGCAGTGTCCAAGTACACTTTTTCTTTGGAAGACACCTGACTTGTGGAATCATTTTCTCGTGAATTCTACCTCTGACTCCAGGAGAGTCACACCGCCTTCAATCGTAAATGTATTATAGTATTCTATTCAATGTAGATTGAATTTTCTGGGTTTTTTGTTTGTTGTTGGGGTTTTTTTGTATTGTCTTTTAATTTGTTTGTACTTTTGTGTTTCAAAAGCAGGACAAATGAACAAGCATTCAGATGATACCAATTGTTTAAATGTGCTCAAATAACGAACAAGCACCTGATTCATGACACAAATGGTTTTTGCCCTCTCACTCTCCTATCTAACATTGCGTGACAATAGTTTCATCATGAAGGTGAAGAAAAGGACGCCAGAACCTTGTTTTAAGTAGAACTAGGTCAATAAACTCTCAGATTTTTTCCTGTTAGTTTCTGCTCTGTGTGCGATTTTTTGGGTTTTATTCGTGACTTTGATTTCCTCCCCGAGCCGCGGTCCCCCTTTTTCACAATTATGTAAACTCGACGAACCGGATTCGTTTATGACCCACTTAATTAACAAATCTGTAATCAAAACGCTAACCCACTAAAGTTCATCACAATACAGTCAGTCAGTCTGGTACGGATCGTGAAGAGGGAAGGTTCTGTTTGTCCCTAAAATGTGGATTCTAGTTTTTTCTTTGCTTCTCTCAGCGTTTGTAGCTGGTGAGTCTCTTTGCTTCTAAAGAGCAGACTTTCCCAACATACAATTTTCATACACAGCTATCTAATTTATGTTTGGCAGACTGAAGCATTTTTTATGTAAATAAGGTTTGTGACTTTAAGAAAATGACTGCACCAATAATTTAGAGAATAAATTGTTGTAGAGAGATCAAACGAGGAACACTCCCCAATAGGAAACCCCAGAATTGCAATGCTCTTTCTGACATCTTTGTCCGTTTTGAATTCTTGTGATAAGAAGGTCAGAAGTCAAATGTTCTATTTGCTTCCTTAAAATCGTAAGAATATTTGGAATCGTTAGCAAAATATTCAGATAATTGGCTTTGAAAAAGCTTGACATATTTTGAAACTAAACGATTTTGACGTCAAACTTCTCAAAACTTGGTATTGCGTAGATAGAAGTTTGTTATTCTAATGTAGCGAACAATCTGCTCTAAACAACCTGCTTAATCTTCCTTTATGACAATATGTAAAGGATTTTTTTAATCCTCGTCAATCCCCATGTTAAATTGCATGCAGTCAAATCACTTATCTTAACACTTTCCATTTACAAAGTTTAAACAGAAAAGTAAATCAAACTGTATCACTAATGCAGCACTCCAGGTGTCACTCTTAACTATCACGTCAATTCAAGCATTCAAGCAGTTTTAACTCTTAATACAACGGAACAGAAGACTAACTTTTTTCACCGCTTAAGTATTTTTCCCCTTTAAAATACACCTATTTCTTTACAAACCATTTTTTTTCTTTTCTGTTATTAAATAAGTTAGTGTAAGAACAGACAGTTTAGTACCCACCGGGGCAGTGCTACTGACTGATTTTTTTTTGGTCCATTCACAAAGGGAGGACATTAACCATGTTCTTATGCACAGTAGAATTGTAATTGTGAATGGGCTGATTTACCAATGTCATGCTCATAACTGTGCCTGAACTGCAAAAGAACTGCTGCTTTAATTTTCTTTCCTTATCCTTACTATTGTTATTTTCCTCTACTTCTTTTGTATGACTCTTGTGACATGCTATTTCCGGGGTGCCTTGATAGTCAAAATAGACGTTGTGCTGTTGAAGCAAGAGAGGCGAGCGGAGTAAGAGTGCTTCCTTGTAAGGAGTTCTCTGTTGACATCCGCCCCTAGGCGCTCATATGACTTTTTGCAGCTGCAAGCGCCTTAAACCCTTTGCTAAAACAAATAAGACAGTCTAAAAGTTAACATATGTGAGGCGTGCTGACAAAATGAGTTACTTCTCGCAGTCCACAAAAGGAGATATTGGCTAAAAATTGACACTAGGGTCAAATTTGTAGATTTTCTATTTATGCCATATTCTTTAAGTATAACATACCTTTTATTTCATACTTATAAATTGTAAAAACTCCACCTATAAATGTGATGGATCCATTTCCTAAAGACCTAACTCCGAGAAGAAACTCATTTTGTCAGCACGCTTCACATATTATTATACGTATTTGTTATTTCTAACCTATCAAACATCTGTAGTCAGAATCTCTCACCCTTTTTCTTCGTGTTTGTTACTCTCATGTAACACCTCTAACCTTCGGAACTTATGTGGCCTAATTGCGTTGCAAGTGCCGTAAAACTCTTCCTGAAAGTACTATCATGTTCTTCTATAGACGCAG